GGGTTGAGACTCAACCTAGTCTGGGAGCAGAAAGGGGAGAGACTGATGGTTGAAGTCAGAGGGAAGAGAAAATAGAGTAAGAAAGGGTACAAGCTAGTCAGTGTCCATGGGAGGACTTGACATTGGAGCATGACCTTTAATGTTTTGAGTACTAAAGGCTTCAGCCCAGATTTTCCTTTTCCATCTGATTAGTGACTATGAAAACATGATTGGGCATTTCTGCTTCCACTGCCCTCCCAGATAGTGAAAGTCAATAAAGATATATTTTTAGAAAGAAATCAAGAGGTGAGAAAATAATGTGGGAGCAGGATGGAGACACCATTATTGCATCAGTTGAGCAGACCAGCACTAGAAATGTCTTAAATGATATCTGGAAGGATATGGCAAAGGGAGGTGAAAGGTGATGAGGGAGCCCTGAGAAGGCAGGAGATGTGGGTGCAATGTCAGCACTGGTCTGAAGAGAGCTGCTCACAAGTGTGTCAGGGAAGTCATTCTTTCAGAGGCCTGGGAAGGCTGGAGGCTCTGGGTCACTCTTGGGCTCCCCTGCCCTTGGAAACTTGCCACAGGTCTGGGTTGAGCCTTGCATTAACTTTTACCATCTTAAGGATTGTCACTGGGAGATGGTCTTGCCCACTCCTGCTGATTCTGAGCTCCTCTTTCCATCCCCATCTCCCTCCAGCCTGACAATCCCTTTGACCAAGGCTGCTTCACAAATTGTTACATCCAGATGTGTATGCCACTGGGACCCAAGTAAGTTGGTAAACCTAGGGCTGGTGGGAAGGGGTGAAGCTGGGTCCCTTTCCCTGGTCCCTTACTCCATCTCTAAGACCCTGATGCTCCCTGCTCCATTCCTTTGGGGTTTTGTCTATAGCACTCTTGGAGCCTCTGGGAATTTCATTCTGTCTTGCCCTTGTAGGTTCTTGCTACAAGAAATGGGGGTAGAGGGTAACAGCTGCCTGGATGATGCTCCTGGATGAGAGCCCTGAGCTTTATGCTTTCCAAGCTGAGGTTCAGTGAGGGTGGTCAGGGAGAACTGGCCAGTGTGGTAGTGACCCCTTGCCCTTGAACTTTTGTTCTGCAGGTACATGACCGAAGCTGTCAGTCTGCAAATAGAGCTGGGGACTGAATGGGAGCCAACAGAGGTATACATTCCACCACAACATCCTACACACCTCCTTGCATCCAAGTCTCCAACTCTAGTCCCCCCAAGTAGTGGCCAGTCTGCACCTTTACAGGAGGTGTGAAGAGTAGTGAGTGTGCATTGAAACAGGGGTGTCTGTGGAATGCAGCAATTGGAGCCTAAGGATGGGGATTATGAAACTGGAAGGTGCACTGTTCAGGTCACAGGGCTTCAGAACACACTGAGGTGTCCCTGGATAGATAAACATAATAAGACTAAACCATAAGTTTTCTATACCATAGAACATTCTGGTTACAGCTTTTTTGACAAATAATCTTATGGCTTCTTTAAAAGTCATAACACTTAA